TGGATCTAGAACTCACCATCTCCTAGTGATTGCCCCAAAGTCACCAACCTGCTTTCGTACTTAAGATGGATCTAGAACTCACCATCTCCTAGTGATTGCCCCAAAGTCACCAATCTGCTTTCTTACTTAAGATGGATCTAGAACTCAGTCTCCTAGCCACTGGCTGAAAGTCACCATGCTGGCTTTCATGCCTTGGGGGGATCTAGAACTCGCCACCTCCCGGTGATTGGCCCAGACGAATGCCTAAAGCAGGACCAGAACTCCCTGTCTCCCAGGGAGTGGCCCAAAGTCATCCAACCGGCTTTCATACCTAAGGTGGATCTAGAACTCCTCGTCTCCCGGTTTCTAAGCCGCCACTTTAACCCCTTGGCAAAACTCCACTCGCTGGAGAAATCCCATCCACTGGCATGGCTTAACGTCCGCCGTGCTGCGCCTGTTTCACTGGGATATCCCTGTCCCCGGTTAGCCGAAACGAAAATGGGGACTCACTTCATACAGGTGGAGTGCTGATGGCACCTGGCCACGGGGGCCCTCACGACGCAGGGCGGGAAGGCCAGCAGCAGAGATCCCGTGGCCTTGTCCAGCTCCATGCTCAGCAGTTTCCGTTCACCTGTTGCGTCCTTGCCACACCTGGGAAAAGAGGGAGGACAGTGAGTATGGTGGGTTGCAGAGTCATCCAGGTGTTTTATTCTGGATTTTGGCATGCGTCTCCACCCTTCCATTGAGTCCTTCCCAAGGACCAGGGGGATTATGATGATTGTTGTTGTTGTTGTTGTTTATTAGATGTATATGTCATCCAATGCCTACACAACTCCGGGCAGGGGGTAGGGTGGGGAGAGCGGTCATAAATAAAAATGTGAAAAATCAAGACAGAGAAAAAGGTAGACAAACTTGGCAAATGCCTTTGGGAGCTTCCCTGAGTTGTGTTTTAAGGTGGACCGTTCTACAGATCAAAATAATAAAATAAAACAATAAAATAAAACAAAACAATGAATAAAGTAAAATATAAAACAAAACAAAATACAATAATTCCCAGAATTCCCCAGTTATCATAGGTGGATTTCAACTCCCAGAATTAACTACCCAGCACAAGTGGACTTCAGCTCCCAGAATTCCCCAGGTGGGAGGAGTGAACTTCAACCCCCAGAATTCCTCAGCCAGCATGGATGGACTTCAACTCCCAGAATCCTCCAGTTGGGATGAGTGAACTTCAACTCCCAGAATTCCCCAGGTGGGAGGAGTGAACTTCAACTCCCAGAATCCTCCAGTTGGGATGAGTGAACTTCAACTCCCAGAATTCCCCAGCCGGGAGGAGTGAACTTCAACTCCCAGAATTCCCCAGGTGGGAGGAGTGAACTTCAACTTCCAGAATTCCTCAGGCAGCATGGATGGACTTCAACTCCCAGAATCCTCCAGTTGGGATGAGTGAACTTCAACTCCCAGAATTCCCCAACTGGGATGAAACCTTGTTGCTTCCACCCTCACGAACTCCGAGAAACGAAGGGGCGTGGGTGCCTCTGTGGTTTGCCCAAGTGTGTTTGGCAGTGTCGACTCACTTGTCACTGGGGTAGGTCTCAAATTCCTCCAGCAACAGGCTGTGGCTACTGGCTCGGGCAGGAGACGAGCTGGCGCTGAGGTTGGCGCGGATGAGGAACTTAAGGACGGTTCCCGAATCGGAGCCCAGAAAGACGACGGTGTAATTCCGACCCGGTCCGGCTGCGTTGTCCACCACAATCTTCCGGAGTTGGTACCTATCCCGGGAAAGGATGGAGGTTAATCAGCCGGGCGCAGAATTGACACACTGGGCCAGGTTATTTATTTTGTAATTGGACAGCATTATGTGTAGGGTCTCCTGCTTGGGCAGCGGGTTGGACTAGATGACCTACAAGGTCCCTTCTGACTCTGTCAACCTGTTAAAAGTTGTAGGGTCTCCTGCTTGGGCTGCGGATTGGACTAGATGACCTACAAGGTCCCTTTCAACTCTGTCAATCTGTTCATTTAAAAACATTTTTGATCCCACCTTAATTTTATTTAGACATGCAGGTGGTCCTTGATTTACAGCCATTCGTTTACCGACCAATATCGCCACGGGACTGAAAAAAAGTGACTCAGGACCATTCTTCACACTTACGACTGCATTCGCATCCTCAGAGTCACCTGATCAAAATTCTTGGCAACTTGACTCATATTTATAATGGTCATAGGACCCTGGGGTCACGTGGTCCCCTTTGCGACCGTCTGACGAGCGAAGTCAATGGGGTAGCAGATCCACTTAACAACCATGTTACTAACTTACCAGTGATTCACTTAGCAATGGTGCTGGTAGGTCGTAAAGTGGGGCAAAACTCACTTAACAACTTTGCATGTGAAGATAACAGATAATAGATAATCAGAGTTGGAAGGGACCTTATAGGTCATCTAGTCCACCACCCCCGCCCAAGCGGGAGACCCTACACCATTTCTGACAGATGGCAGTCCAATCTCTTCTTGAAAGCCTCCAGTGATGGCGCTCCCACAACTTCCGAGGGCAACTTCTGATCCATGGGTTGATTGGTCTCACTGTCAGAAAGTTTCTCCTTATTTCCAGGTTAAATCTCTCGTTCAGTTTCCATCCATTATTCCTTGTCTGGCCTACAGGTGCTTTGGAAAATAGCTTGACCCCTTCCTCCTCTCTGGGGCAGCCTCTCAGATATCATGTCTCCCCTGGTCCTTCTCTTCACTAGACTAGCCAGGCCCAGTTCCTGCTACCGTTATTCAAGTTTTAGCCTCCAGTCCCCTAATCCTCTTTGTTGCTCTTCTCTGCACTTTTTCTAGAGTCTCAACATCTTTTTTATAATGTGGTGACCAAAACTGGATGCAGTACTCTAGGTGTGGTCTTACTAAGGCTTTATAGAGTGGTATTAGTACCTCACTTGATCTTGATTGTATCTCTCTGTTAATACAACTTAGGATTGCATTAGCTTTTTTGGCTGCTGCTGTACACGGCTGGCTCCTATTGAGCTGGTTGTCCACTAAGACTCCAAGATCCCTCTCCCAGTTCCTGCTATTGAGCCTGGTTTCACCTGGTCTATATGTGTCCTTTGGGTTTTTCTTGCCTAAGTGTAGGACTTTCCTTTTCTCTCCATTGAATTTTATTTTGTTAGATACGGCCCAGTGTTCTAGTCTGTCACAATCCATCTGGATCTTGAGTTGATCTTCTTGGGTGTTGGCCATTCCTGCCAGCTTAGTATCATCTGCAAATTTGGTAAGTTCCCCTTCTATTCCCTCATCTAAGTCATTAATTAAGATATTGAAGAGTCCTGGGCCTAAGACTGAACCTTGTGGCACCCCACTGCTTCCTTCCCTCCATGTAGACTTAGATCCATTAAGGACTACTCCTTGAGTACAGTTTGCCAGCCCGTTGCGAGTCCATCTGGTGGTGGTGCTATCTATTCCACTTTTTTCTAGCTTCCCAAGAAGTAGGTTGTGGTCTACTTTGTCGAATGTCTTGCTGAACTCTAAATATATTATGTCCACAGTATTTTGCTGGTCTACGAATTTAGTCACTGTGTTGAAGAATGAAATGAGATTGGTTTGGCATGATCTGTTCTCAACAAACCCGTGCTGACTGCTAGTTATTACTTTACTTGTTTCTAGCTGTTGAAAACAATTGTGGGAGGGGCCCAGAGGTTGGAGGGAGGAGCCACAACCGCACCCCTGTAAGGTACAGGTAGTTCTCGACTTAAGACCACCATGGAGCCCCAATGTTTCTGTTGTTAAGTGAGAAGGTGGTTAAAAGAGTTTTGCCACCCACGTTACTTTCCTGGCCACGCTGGTTAAGCCACTACGTGTTCCAGCGATCGCCCTAATTAAATCCTAAGCCTCGAGCTAAACTTCAAAAATCTTCAAATAATTCTTTAGGAGCGACATACTGACATGACCTCGAAGAAGCCTAAGTTGGCAGGAAGAGCCAACACCCATGAAGATAGGCTCAAGATCCAGAGGGATCTTGACAGACTCGAACCCTGGGCCCCATCTAACAAAATAAAATTCAATGGAGAGAAAAGGAAAGTCCTACACTTAGGCAAGAAAAACCAAAAGGACACATATAGACTGGGTGAAACCAGGCTCAATAGCAGGAACTGGGAGAGGGATTTTGGAGTCTTAGTGGACAACCAGCTAAATAGGAGCCAGCCGTGTCAGGCAGCAGCAGCCAAAAAAGCTAACACAATCTTGAATTGCATTAACAGAGGGATACAATCAAGATCAAGGGAGGTAGTAATACCACTCTATAAAGCCTTAGTAGGACCACACCTAGAGTACTGCATCCAGTTTTGGTCACCACACTATAAAAAAGATGTTGAGACTCTAGAAAAAGTGCAGAGAAGAGCAACCAGGATGATTGGGGGACTGGAGGCTAAAACATATGAAGAACGGTTACAGGAACTGGGCTTGGCTAGTCTAGGGAAGAGAAGGACCAGGGGAGACATGATAGCAGTCTTCCAATATTTGAGGGGCTGCCCCAGAGAGGAGGGAAGGGGCCAAGCTATTTTCTAAGGCACCCGAAGGCCAGACAAGGAACAATGGATGGAAACTGATCAAGGAGAGATTCAACCTGGAAATAAGGAGAAACTTTCTGAGAGGGAGAACCATCCATTGATGGAACAGAAGTTGCCCTCGGAGTTGGGGGAGCTTCATCCCTGGAGGCTTTCAAGAAGAGATTGGACTGCCACTTGTCAGAAATGGTGTAGGGTCTCCTGCTTGGGCAGGGGGTTGGACTAGATGACCTACAAGGTGCCGTCCAACTCTGATTATCTGTTATCTGGAGGGTTTTGGGTTTTTTTTTTGCAAGGGCCACAGGTTGTTATACACGTGCCCGACACACACCACACACACACACACAAATTGTCCTACGCGCTGTTGTAAAACAGCCAAACTACGTGCGTGAAACAACCCCCCCCCCCCCCCCCCCCGGCCTGGGGTCTCCCCCTTCCTTTCCCCCCACAGCCATGCCATATCCT